ATTCCTTGAGGTTTCTTTTGTTTGAATCAGGTTTCATATGCCTTAGGTAGGCTTACAAATACCTTTGATAAACTTTGTTTATTTGTTCATGGTTGGAATATGGGTTTCCGTTGGTATTGCTTGATGGGATTTCAAGTTTTTGGAGCTGAAGTGCTTCTTCATTGTTGTACCTTAAGAGGAGCTCAAGGCTGACCAGGTGGTCTTGTGAACGTGGAGCTTGTTGTGATAGTTCAAAGTTTGACCAAATGTTGGAGTTTGAAGCGTTGTAAAATAGGGAGTGTTCTTGCAATTGATGCTTAGCTTTAGCTTTGTAATTGAACTGTAAATGTTTACCATAGTGGATTGTCTTCATTTGAATGAGTTCTTATGGATGTAGGCATGTTGCTGAACTATGTAAAAACTCCTGGTGTTGTTTTAATTTGGTTTATTTTTATTGCTTTATGTTTCTGTTCAAAGAACTCTTAAAATCAACACACCAACCCATTCTGCCTAGGTTTAATTCACTTAGTAAAGGAATTAAAACTTTCAATTGGTATCAGAGCTTGTTCTAGAAAGTTATTTCAGTTGATCCTTGCTTGTTGATTGTGTTTTTATCCCACTTTAATCTCTGTTTATGTTCTAGTTATTTTTTCATGTTTTTCTGCAGTTTTCTTGCTACAGACCTAAGGTGACCACCTTGGAGCTGAGTGACCACCCCGTGTTGGATTTTTTGCTTGTGACCACCTCAGTCTCTCGGGTCACCACATCAGAACAATTTTTTCAAAAATCGTAAAATGTGGAAACTTAAGCTTAGTGCTAACTGTCTTGTTGCTCATACATCTTTGCCTGCCTCTCAAATTGATAGTAGTTGTTCTAGACACATGACAGGTAACAAATCTTTTTTGGTTGAGCTCAAATGCTTGGAAAATGGTCATGTTTCCTATAGAGATGGTCATCCTTATGACTTAGTTGAGGATAAGGTCATTTCACTTGCATATGTAAACACAGAGTCTCAACTTGCTGACTTATTTACAAAGGCTTTAGATTTTCAAACTTCTGTGAATTTGAGGAAGTCCGTTGGACTAACTCAACTTGAGTAGAGCTTTTTTCTTTTAATAATGTCATGAGGAAAATTTTCTTAGTTTTTAAAGTTACAAGTGTATATGATCTATGTTGAGTCATAAGGAATTGCTTCTCTCTTTGAAATGTGTGTGGTGAGTGATGTGTCCACCTTGATTTTCACCTCAAGAAATATAATGACTTTCTTTCATTTTTGAGTGCTTAGTGCACATTTCTTGTCACCATGTGAAAGAGCTACTTATTTGTAGTGTGAAAGTCATACTTGAGTAAGTTTCTAGGATGTACAGACCCCTATGTCCTTGGAAAATCTACCATGTAAAGGGCTACCTACTTCTAAGTGTGAAAGGTACACTTAGTTACCTCTTGAGAATTATGCCCATTAATCTCTATTCTATGAAAAAGAAGCCAAAATGTTGAGATTAAGTTCAAAAGAAAAAAGGGCATGAGGGAAGGGGGAGTTGCTTTCAATTCAAAACTAACCAATGTGTCAAACTCACCTCTTGAGGACACTTTACACACATATGATTAAGAATACTTGCTTTTGTTGCTCATTTATGACTTAAAGGAGTGATTACTTTAAGTTGTTGAAATTTCATTCGATGAGATGCTCCTTATGCATTTCTTTCAAAGGTGAGAAATGATTTTTTNCAACTAATGAAGCTAGTGCTGTTGTTGCTACTATTTTTCAAACTCCTACTCCAATGGTTAATCTTTCTGTTGATCAGCAACACAATGAAGAACAAGTTCCAGTTGATGCTACCACCCCTGCTACACCTGTTTCGACAGTTGACATTACTGTAACTCCCTCAGACTAGCCACAGTGTCCCTCCTCCAAAGGATGAACCAAAACAACAGCTAGAAGGAAACTTCCTACCAAAAGATCATCAAGTAGATGCAAGGGTTGAAAAACGATGAACAAAGAAGGGGAGTGAAGTTGAATCTTTTCAATCTGGTTGTTGGAATGTGAACTTTTGATGTGATCACTCTAAGTAGAAGTGATCACACTGAACAGAAATGAATTTTTTTTCTTTTGCTGGATCTTTTTGTTGAACTTTTATAATCTACTTTTGTTGGTACTAATACACTTTTTGTTCTTATGGTTTACAGTTTGTGCAGTGATTTTTTTTAGTTGTTATATTTTTTAAAACTTCATGTTTGATATTGATTAAATTGTCATTGCTAATGTTGTTCTTTCACGTGCAGAGAACAAAGTCTTTGTGTTTGAACTAAACCAACCCTTCTTTTTGCCATTTATTGATAAATCATTTCAATGTGACTTGATTTAGTTACTCAGGGGGAGTATACTAATTGATGGGGAATTTTTTAGTTCAATTTTTGATCCTGTAGAATTGTTTTTAATTAAACCATACCGATTATGTTTTGCTTGTTGTCTTTGTTTCATACTTATCTCTATGTCTTTATGATTATGCCTCTAATAGATGTGTTTTTCTGTTGTTTTTGTTTATGTCTCTTGTCGATTGATTGTTGATATATATTGAGATAGGTTTATGGATGAAAAGATTGTGCTTTATTCATAACTTTGACAAAAAGGGGGAGATTGTAAGTTATTTTGTCAACTTATAATTCTTGGGGTGTAACACAAGTCATGGTATGAACACTTCACCTTGATTTTTGCACAATCATTTTTGTTTAAATTTCCAAAGTGACGACCTTGTGTTAAAAGTGACCACCTTCTATTATGTTGTTTATCTGCTATATCAGAAGAGCACCTCCAAGTCAGAGTGATCACAACGTATCTAACAGATTTATTTGGGTAACATGTGCCATGCTTCTAGAATGCATGAGCTGTTTTATTCTCTTTTGAGATATTTGTGTGGTTCATAACACTTGTCATTTTTATATTCAATGTGCTGGAAAGTTTTATTCTCTTTGATAGGTGGCATCTTGATATTGGAATAAACTTTTATAAAAGTGAATTCAATAAAGTTATTCCTTGCCACCTATGCCCTTGCATTAAAGCTCAAGTTTTCTATATATTCGTCTCCTCCAATGCAATTCTTTTGAAGCCTGATTATCCTCTGATATTACTCTAAAAATTCCTTGAGGTTTCTTTTGTTTGAATCAAGTTTCATATGCCTTAGGTATGCTTACAAATACCTTTGATAAACTTTGTTTATGGCTGGAACGTGGGTTTCCGTTGGTATTGCTTGATGGGATTTCAATCTTTTAGAGCAAAGCTCAAGGTTGACCAGGTGGTCTTGTGAACGTGGAGCTTGTTGTGGTAGTTTGAAGTTCGACCAAAGGTGGAGTTTGAAGCGTTGTAAAACAGGGAGTGTTTTTGCAACTGATGCTTAACTTTGGCTTTCTAATTGAACTGTAAATGTTTACTATAGTAGATTGGCTTCATCTGGACGAGGTCCCATGGATGTAGGCATGTTGCCGAACCGTGTAAAAACCCCTGGTGTTGTTTTACTTTGGTTTATTTTTATTGCTTTATGTTTATGTTCAAAGAACTCTTAAAATCAACATAACAATCCATTCAGCTTAGGTTTAATTCACTTGGTGAAAGAATTAAAACTTTCAGAAGAAATAAGAACAAAGTTACTAAACTGACTCGATCAATGAAATTAATTTTATTTTAATGAGTAAAAAGATTACTAAATGTTAAAGTCTAGTGCATAGTAAGTTGTTAATTGGTTTGAAAGCAAAATTCATAATGCATACGGAGGGATCTTTCAGAATTAAGTGTACAAGGGAATTTCTTCATCTTTATTTCTTTTACTCACATTTTTTGTTCATTTAAAGTCAGAACTATACTATACCACTAAACAAAAACTCTTGATTGATACTTAGAATGGAAATATCATTTATTAGATCGTCCTTCATCACTGTTCACAAAGTTAATGACATATTAATCATGATTAATTTGTTAAAATTCGATGGACATAGGAAAGAAACGTGCTTATATAAAAAGAGATTATTCTTTGAAAGGAGGAGATTTAAAGAGTGGTTATGATTCTCTTAAGCATATTTAGAAAGTTGAAATATGTGGTGAGGTGATGTTGTTTACAAGGGCCGTGCGTGCAAGGGTTGAGGGTGAGATGAAAATAAAAATAATATACTACAAAATACACAAAACATGTAATAATAAAAAGGTTGACAACAAAGTCAAAAAATAAGGGGGCCGATGTTTCCTGGCTGCCTGCATGTAAGCCGCAATACGAGCAGCAAAACATCCCGCATCATTACACAACTTTTATTTAAATTTATAAAATTCTCCAAGGAATGATCGATAATTGATACTTATGCCTCTTTAATTTTGGCCCATCTCCAAAACCCTTTTACAGCTTTTCTCAACAAACAAAGAATCTTCAACTCCGTATTCAGATACGTTTCTCTAAAATTTTGAAGTTAAACAAGTAACTATTATGTTGCAATGGGAGTCTAATTATGGGTTGTTTGGATAAAGGAGAGTGTAAAATGATGGCGGCAACATGATTAAATTAAAAGTGTAGCAACGCCCGTGCGGGGGCATAATGCGCCAATCAAAAATTCGGAAACTTTAACCGTGCACCACATGTTCGATGAAATGTCGTGATGATAATTCTATACTTCTACCGCCCTTACCTTTTTTTGTCTCTAAAAAGAGAATAAAGTAATCATAACCTATAATAGCTGCATTTTTTTCATTACTTTTTTAATCTTCTCTCTTCTCTTAAAGTGGAAAGATGACAAAATTAAGCTGTTTAAGAATGGATGCGCCACGCCCACATTTTCATTGTTGATGGAATGAGTTAAAGATTGCGGTAAGTATCGTATTCTCATCTGCCCCTGTAAACTTTGAATATCAAAATTTATTTTCACTCTTCTTATTTGACTGCGAGGAATTTAAATACCAATTTTACTGTAACTCTTTTTAAGTTAATCAAGAACATTAAATTAAGATTTTAAATATTATTGAAAATTCTCTAAATCCCAACTTTAATTATAAAAAAATATATATATATGTACAGTACTAATTATTCTCTATAATCCTAATAAGGGCCTAGCTAATCTAATCTATGCCTTTAAATATTATTGAAAATTCTCTGTCCTGGTGCTAGGATCATTTTCGGATCAAACTGAGCTTTCCTCTCTGCAAAAGTTTTCCACTTTGACCCAAAATGGTTTATCCAGCCTTCCTTAGTTGCGTGATGAGGAAGATACTGTTTAATTTTAATGCCCGCATTATCACAACACTTTAATATCTCTTTGTTTTGTTCTTCAAAATCTCCCCAGTTACCAAACCCACTTGAATGCAAAAATCCTACGGCGTAGAAAACATCTTCCTCTGGTATAACTGCTGACATCCTATCATCCCATCTGCAATTTATTAAATGATAATCGTTAAATATTAATAGAATAATCGAACTTCGTTTTAAAATTTATGTTTTATTTAGGGGATCAACACACACTTGTTTCGGTTCATAGGGTAAACAAGGACAGGCCCTGTGGTAATATTTCGTTTAAGCACAATTTCCTTGAAAACACCATTGTTGAAATCAACGATACGAGATTTTGGCACAAAGAGATTGAGCCATGGATGAGGAACATCCCACAATCCTTGTGACTGAAGTTTTAGCTCCCCACTTCGAACTCTGTTCAAAAATTCCACGTAGGAGACATTTTTTTCAAACATAAGTCCAGGAAGAAAACTTAAACCTTTGATCAGTTGTTGCAATTCCTGTAAACAAATACCCAAACTATTAGATTACTGTATGTTTAGCTTAATTTTTAAATGGAACCAACTTTAAGCACATAATAATTATGAAGTTGATGATGGTGTACCTTGTCCACCGTATTTTTTGTGTGGTCATCATAATATTTGGCCACTTCAAGACAGTAAATGATGCCATGTTTTGTTACTTGGGAGATTATTCTTGAGTGATCAGAGGATGGGAAAAAGGAGGATCTCCAGTTATTTGGTGAACCTTGGTCCATTAGAAGTGAACCTTCCAAGTAATTCAGTGCTCGGTTTTGTCTCCTTCCGTTGAATGAGATCAAATATTCTTGGTCTTTGGTAAAAGTTGAGAAATTACTGTAAAGCATTCTAACCCACTTAACCTACCAACAAAAATTCAAAACAAAAGTGATCAGCATAGAAAATGTAAATGTTATGTTATGTGTGTGAATCGGAGTCATTCTTATGTTTATGTTAACTTGAAACGCTTGGAGTAGTTTAATCATTTTTAATTATATAGGATTAAAATTATGTGCTTCATTAATATTTACCCTTTTCGGCGCTGGTTCTAGGGCGATTCTTGCTCTGGTTATAATGCCAAACTGGCCAAAACCTCCGAGAACCGCATAAAATAGATCAGAGCTCTTGTACGCAGAGCAAGTCACTAACTCTCCCTTTCCTGAATCAGAAAACAAACACCTCATAAGTAAACCCTAAGTAACTGCATGCATGCAAACTATTTATCACTATATATTAAGGTTTAAATTTAACTATTTAAAGTAATAGAAAAAACAACTAAACTGAACAAACCAATGCAGTTAATTAACTTAACTGAGAGCGACATTAATTATGAATTTTTGGGAAACAGCTCAGATTACTTTCAAAGGCACATTTGGTATAAAAATTCCAAAAAACATCTCGCTAGGATCACCGGGTGATCTTTTACTCTAACTCTTCCTAAACGTGGGACCCCAGTGAATATATTTCTGATATAAATTAATAAGTTGATAGTGAGTACATTTATATATACAACAAAGATCAAGCTTGTATGTTTGTTGCGGAAGGCAATTCCACATAGAAAAATGTGAAATAATCATACCTGTAACAACATCCATTTCGTAAACATTGGCGATCTGCGGACCATAGCGGAAGGTTTGGCCACTGATTCCAGCATTTGAGAGTGTCCCACCAACGGTTAGGTAGAGATAATCGGTAAAGGAAAGCGGTGCAAGTCCATATTCCAGGGTGGCTTTTAACACATCAATCCAAAGTTGTTCACCACCAACATCTGCATAAAAACCCGAAAAATTGTTCCCAGAAACTGTAACTCCACTCCCATTCCGATGATTTTTCAAAGATGACATATCCACAACCACCCCGTCATGAGCCATAGCCTGCCCACGGGTAGAATGCCCGTGGCCTCTAGCCGCTATACTAAAAGGAATGGAATCATTGTAGGCAACTTTTATTAAAGACACAATATCTTGTGTTGTGGATGGACAAAGAACGGCTTTGGGGTGTTCTTTAACTATGTGACCAAAATCACTGGAGACTGATTTTAAAGAATCTGGATCTACAAGAAGCTTCCCAGCGACATCAAGGGCAAGGAGCTTATTGTTATGTGATAGAGAAGCACTCCATGGCTTTGAATTGCCTATGGTTGAAATTAAAAGGCTTATAATGAATATCACCACAATATATGTTGGGATTGGAAAATTCTCAGCCATTTTGTGAGTAAAAGATATGGAAAACTGAACAAGAATTAGAGAAGACAAAGATGATGAAGAAGAAGAAGAAGAAGAAGAAGAAGATGGCGTTGATGAAAGAGGAAGTTGCTATGGTGGTGGTGAAAGGAAATAATGTCTGTATATATAGAGGGAAAGAAAAAGCACGCAAGCCCATGAATAAAAAGAAAATTTAATTTTTGCTTAGCGTGTGTAACTATTAATGTTTGGGAAAAAAAAAAGAGTAAACGACGTCGTGGTTTTTGTACTTTTTCAAAGATTTGAAAGCAAAGACCATGGTTAATCTCATGACTTACACGTGCAAAAGAAATTACATATTACATGTTTAGTGTGTTTTTTATTTGCATCATCATGAAGAATCATGGCCATCCATCCACATATGCTCTTCATACCAAACCCAATGAATAAGGAGCGTTGGATGGTGATCTGGAGGTCAATATTAGTCAAGTTGGGTCAATTGGAATCCTGCCCAATTTCTCTTTTCCACGTGTAATATGATAATATCGGATTCGTTTCCTATAAGAAGATGCATTGGTGGTGGTCAAAATTAGGTAATAAAAAAAAAGGATCTTTAGGGATTTCATTTTGGATTTAGAAGAACTGTGATGGTTTCCAAAATCAAATTCGGAAATGTAAAATGAAGACTGAAGGGGGAGGGAGAGACATTAGATAGATTTTCTTCCCTTAGAAGATTTTGTTTGTACGTATCTAAGCCTACATTTATTTGATAAGTCAATTTGTGACCATAATTACCAAGCCCATCATGTCTCATTAACCCACTTGTTAATTTAATAGTACAAATCAACTATTAATTTTGTTAACAAAAAAGCTTAACCCACTTTTGTTTTACATTTATCCAATCAAAACAATATTATAATTACAATTTAATCTCTCTTACTATTTCCACGTGATTATTCGTAATTAGTAGTTCAAAATGGATTATTTCTATCTAATTATGAATTGTTATATTATAAAAAAGTTTGTAAGATAAGAATTAGGTTCTATACATTTATTTAGAAATTTATAGCCATAGAACAAAGATCATGCCAAGCACAGGGGAGAATGATCCCAAGAACGAAGAATTTCGGCCCTTCTTGTTGTACGGATAGCCTTTCATATTTATAATACATACAACAGAGACGACAGACGTTTTATTTGTATATAAAGATAATGAAGGCTAACATAAATTATTAAGTATAATATTGATATTTTAAATGTTATAAGATCCAATAAGCAAAAGATTTGGTTTGAAATCAAAATTTGACTAATAAAAACCAACATTCAAAGGATAATCTTTGACCTGAAGATCTTACAGGTACAAAGACCTATCAGATAGCAGACCCTTCACCTTCGCCTTCACCTTCACGGCTTCACCATGCAATGATAAATATGCTTTTATATTTATTAATTCTACAAATTCCATAATTTATAATTAAGAATTTGTCGCTTGACTATGCATGTGCACCACGCGTGCATACCAAAATCTTATAGATGTATGTTAATATTTGCATGATATATAACAAGAAGAAAGTTGAAGAATACAAGTAAGATGCTTTGGCACATGCCACAATTAGGTTTTTTTACCTAACATGAGTGAGAAAAGAGAATAAGTTTGGTCGTATATATTAACTTTATAACATTACATCAAGAGTAAACGACTTTTTCCTACCCAATGTTTTCCTTAATGACACTTTCTCACTAAAAAAGTTTCAAAATATCATTTTTCTACCTAAAGTTTATATTCTGTTAATATCCAAAACTGATTCCGACAGCGAAAATTCTCTCTATAACCACCATTTGAACCTTCAGTCTCTTCTCTACAAAACCCCTCTCATTCTGGCACTTTATTTTTCCTTGATTGTCAGTTATCACAAATCTTGGGTTTCCTGTTCTTAGCTTATTTCCGACAACTAATATTCAATCAGTCACCACCATTCGATCTACCAGTCTCCACTTTACAAAAACCCCCTTATCCTAGCTCCTGGTAACTTGCTGAACGTCGACTGAAAAAGTGAAGTGTATTTTGAGTATTAACATAATATAAACTTTGAGTGGAAAATGGTATTTTGAAACTTTTTTGGTGGAAAGTGTCATTAAGGCAAACCTTGGGTGTGAAAAAATCATTTACTCTTACATTAAATGAAATTGAATGGAAACATTAAAATTGCAACTTTCATTCTTTCTATTCTGGCTACAGAAGGATGGATAAAACTTAAACAAATTAAAAGTATTGCCCACACTCCTTTTAATTGTCTTTTTGGGAAAAAAAAATGTTTGCGTAACACATGTTTATAACATGGAAAAATGTAAAAAACCAAAAAACTTTTGTTGTAACTTGTACGTAGCCATAAAAGGTTTGTAGAAATTAATTTTACGTTTTTTTTTTTAAATATATGTTTCGCTCAATAAAAATTAATCAATATACTGAATTTACAAGGGTTACATGCGTTTATTTTTGAAATTATGAATTTCAAATATATGAATTATTGCACATATAGCATGACAGCACCTTTCCTTTCTTCAATCCTCTCTGTAAAACATATAGATGAAAATGAATGTTCTACAAAGTATGTTTTCACTCTAATTATCGTTTTCCTTTTTCTTAATGACAACAGCTATAATTCGCTCGATTTGAAGATACGCACTCACAAAAATTAAGCAATCATTTTTATGTATAGGATCAATATTGATATTGTTAATATATATATATATATATAAGAATTTAATTACCAATGTAAAAGTTGTATTCTAAAATGAACCATCGCTTTTAACCCTTTAATATGTTTTATATATATTACTATATACTTATTGTTTATAACAAAATTTATACATTGAATGATGAATAGACTGGTAAACAACCATTAAAGGGACTACACGAAGATTTTCCAAAGCAAAGATCATGAAAAATCTTTGCAATGATCGATGAAATCTGTCAATTTATGAACAATCAAGTAATGGATGATACGGTGGTTGAGTTTTCGATAAAGACTTCTGAATGTATTATTCAAGAGGTCTTGAGTTTGAGTTGAGTGTTTGATAAAGACTTTTGACTATATTATTCAAGAGATTTTGAGTTTGAGTTTCTGTCAGTTGTTAACAGGGTAACAACTGGAGTTTTTACTCTATCGACAATTTTAAAATCTCAAAAGATTAGTTGAGATACATATAAGCTGACTTAGACACCCCCAATCATTTAAAAAAAATAAGTAATGGATGATATAATTAATTAATGTTGATGGCAATGCAGTAAGGTAATAAATAAACAATAGTCAAAAGTGTAGTTAAGGGATATAAATATGAAGCTAGAAATGGAAGTAAAGATAAAATGGGATGTATTGTCATGTGAAAGAAGAAGAAATAGATTAAACTGAAATTGAGGAATAGGAATTAATGAATTCATAAGAAATGAGAGTGACGTTAAGGAAAAATAAATGGGTAGCGTAGTAGGGACCTCAATTGGAGAGAGAGAGGGGGAAGATTGTAAGATATTGAAAATCTTTATGGGGATCTCCAATCTAAGCCACCCCACAACCACATCACGTGGTCCTAAGCAAACCCACCGCCACAAATCATTTTGATTCCATACGTGCAATTGCATTTACATATGCATGAAAATGTTATTAATTGTAAGAGAAATACAATAAATAAATGAGCTCAATATGAAGAGGAAGGCAATATCAATTGTGTTTTCTAAATTCATTATGCGATTTGGGTAATTATTTAATATAAAAGTGTAGTATTAGAAGTAGTTCGTAAAGATAAATAGCCAAAAAGAAAACAAACTTTATGGACTCGCTTATCTCACGTTGGTTGTTGTTTAGCATAAAATTTGAAAACATAAACTAAATGCTGTCATGCATCTAACAATAAACATCAATTATTAAAAAATAAATAGGTATAAATGATAATGTAATCCAACGAGAAGACAAAAGAGTTATTCAAAACAAAAGCACTAGTATATTTATATAATAATTCTTTACTCCTTAATCAATTGAAAGAGTTAATAAAGTAATGAGAGAAGTACAATTGTGTTGTAATTAGACGTACAAGAACGTGATATCCATATCTAAACCATAGAGAGAAGAAACACAAATACAGTAGGAATTAAGTAATTAAATATATCCTTTTTCGATGGATGAAGGCAAAAAGAAAAGTGTGGGAAGAGGTGGGCTAGGGTTTTAGATAATTGTATTGTATGGATGGATGCCCGTGGGGAGAAGGCAACTCAAAAGGTTTGACAAGCAAGACCCACTTGTTTCAGCAACTCCTGTCAGTTTTTACATGCTTTGTCACTGTCTGTACTAGAGGCTGCTTTTTAGACAGAGATTACGAGCAGACAAGACGGGCGATTCTAATTCCTCCATAAGGACCCATTCACTGTTTAATTATGTAATTTATTATTAATATTACCATTGATTATCTTCCATGACAACACCTTAAATTTGTTTTTGCTTACATAGAATTGATGGTTAATGATCGATTCCATGTACTATAGCGTATAGCTAGGTTTTCTTTCTAAAAGAGATAATAATGAAACCCTAGTTAGCCAACCCTATTCAATGCCATGTTGATTTTACTTAAAGGTCTAAAAAAGCTAGTATATTGTCTAGTCTCCATCACTGAGGTAACCATTTTTGACTCTCAAACCTTCAGCCATCATTCATCAAATCTCATGTCTTTTAGTTTCACGCCTTCTTATACACTGGCATTCCTATTCAATTCCAACTGAGTCTTTAAGTTGAATCCATGAAAACGTTTATTACTACCCTTAATCCCATTGGTATTGATTAAGATTTAAGATTCAGATAGATAAATTCAGTTGACATCACATGTGTTAACGTGTTTTTGTTGACGGTGATTATGTGTGTTTCACATGATGATGGTTGGTTCGCTCAATCAATCAACTTTGATAGATAGATGTAAGTTCAAACTGTTGGGTCCAGAGCCAGAATCGGGAGAGATTTGATTCCTATATATCAAAGTTTAAAGTACTTTGTGTAAATACTCTGTCAACTATCTGTCT